TAGGAATTAGCGGTGACAATGGGCCGAGCCGAGTCGGTTCGAGCTCGTGGGCCGAGCCGAGCTTTAGCTCGTGGCTCGGGTAATTTTTTTTATATTAATAAGATATGCCTTTTTTCTAAAAAAAATGAATTTTTGGACAAGCCCACGAGCCCCTCGTGAAAAAAGGAGCCGAGCTGGGCTGGCTCGCCTAGCGAACCCGTCGCCCGACTCGGCTCGGCTCGGCTCGATTGCCACCACTACCTCCGCCTCCGCCGCCAACCTATTTGATCAAGTCCTAGGCCGTAAGCTAGGCCTTATGGATACAAAAATAGTATTAGTATTTAAAGCTGTGATTGATTGATGTTTGTGATAAGAAATGTCAATGGCTTGGATGAGGTCACGTGTCCTGTCATCCAATGACCTTCATTAGTCTTACCCAAATATAAAAGCTCACACTTAGTGTCATCCAAATGTAATGCAAGTTTAGACTTGAAAAACAATAATTTTGCTGTCCTATCTTTTACTTATTTCTTCCCAAGGCTGACCCTCTTTTTATATTGGAAGCTCATGTTTAAAGCTCTCCCACTCACATATTACTATTTCTCCAACTGATTTGATCATTGAAATGTGTGCGGCCAACTCTACTCCCTTGGGAGAAGGCCACATGTGTCTAACAGTTTGTCCTAGTGTATAGAAATCAAGTTTGTGTGGATGTGAGAGGCCTTGAAATCTGTTGGCCACATTAGCGGTACATATTTTGGGGTCAATAGATTGGCATCGTGGGAAATTTAACACTATAACCACGAGTGTCCTTATGGCAAAAGCCCTCGAAATTAAGCAAAACCTCGAAAAAAGGCATATGCAGAAAGAACCGTTGTAGAAATGAAGCACTTTAAAGTCAAGTACATGTTATGAGTTCTAGCCATTATGGCTCACAAGGTGCAACAGTTGTTCATGCAAATGCCCCAGCATGCAGGGTATCAAATGCCCAACAAGGGCCGTTTTCCCAAGAAGGTGAGGTAAACAATACAATGACCTACCCCCAAATGCACAGAAGGAAGCTCAACCTAATTGAAAGGGAAGTGGAAATGGATAGCTCCGCAAACTATGCCACTAACCGACTTGATGATAATGTGCCACAGGAGGACAACTTTCTCCTAGAATATGCTCAAGAGCATAGACCCCAGAGGTTCGCCAGTGTCTTTGACAAGATCGAACCATCAATGCCTAGAAGTAGGTCTAGTCAACCACCTCCCATTCTAAGAGGACTGGAACGTGATTAAGGATATGGATCGCATGGAGTTCCACCTCCTCCCCTTCCTAGAAATAGGCGAACTTAAGAAATCAAGCGGGAACTTTGCGACCCCCTACCAAGCTGAGGGTAATGATTCAGACGATCCATGCAGATCTTTTGAGTTAGACGATGATGACGAGAGTCTCCCATTTTCCCAAAAGTTGAGAAACGTCCCCGTTCCAAATCATTTCGTACCACAAAAAATACCTAAATACGAAGGAAATGGCGACCCCCGGGAAGCACCTCAACAATTACAAAACCTATATGTCTCTCAAAGGAGCATCGCCAGCGCTAAAGTGCAGAGCTTTCCATCTCATGTTGACTGGAGCTGCTGAAATTTGGTATAGCCGCATCCCAGCTGGCTGTTTTAGAAGTTGACCAGATCTCAAAAAGGAATTTCTGAACCATTATTTCTCCAGTAATGAAGGAGAAGCCACAATCCAAAGG